CATGGCCCTTGTGGAAAACTTAATCCAAAAAATGTATGTATGGAGGCACATAAAGGCTGTAAAAATAAATATCCTAGAGATTATTGTAACACTACTATATTCGGTCATGACTCATATCCGTTGTATAAACGTCGTGATAATGATATTTCTATTAAAGTTAGAGGTCATTTGTTAGACAATCGATTGGTTGTCCCATTCAATCCTTATTTAAGTGGAAAATTTGATTGTCACATTAATGTTGAAGTATGTTCTTCTATCAAAGCTGTAAAATATTTGTACAAATATGTATACAAAGGACATGATCGTATCAATTTCTCAATTGACAAAAATGAAACAGAGAAAGAAATTGACGAGATTTCTGCTTTCCAATCTGCTAGATGGATATCTCCACCCGAGGCTATGTGGAGGATTTTTTCTTTCAATTTATCAGAAATTTGTCCTACCGTTTATTCTTTACAACTTCATATTCAAAATCACCAACAAGTAACATACAATGGTAATGATGATTTATCTACCGTTATCGACAATGAAAATACGAGGAGAACAATGTTAACAGAATTTTTTCGAATGAATGAAGTAAATGAGTTTGCTCGTACACTGTTGTATCGAGATTTTCCTACACATTTTGTTTGGAATACAAATGCAAAGATTTGGACTCCGAGAAAGAAACAAATTGTTATTGGACGAATTGTCACGGCCAATCCCTCTGAAGGAGAACGCTATTTCCTCCGTATACTTTTGAATCACATTCGAGGGCCAACATCATTTCAAAGTTTACGAACTTCAAACGGGGTGATTGCTTCAACTTATCGAGAGGCCGCAATTCTACACGGTTTATTAAGTGGAGACAACCATTGTGAAAAATGTTTATCTGAAGCTATTGTTTATGAAATGCCACTTTCATTAAGACGCCTTTTTGCTACACTTCTTACGCTTTGTAATCCTGATAATCCAAAGTTGTTGTGGAATAAATTCAAAGTTTATATGATTGATGATTATGTACATAAAAATGTACCTATGCAGGTTGCTGAAGTACGAGCTTTAGAGGAACTCAGTTCGATTTTAGAATCGTTGGGTAGAAATATAAACGACTATGGAATGGTGCCCTTCAACGTAAATATAGATGACAATGAAAGGTTGAGAAGAATGGTTGCAGAGGAGACAACAAATTTGGATATTCAAGGGAGCTATGCTTGTGCAGCAACCTTAAATAGCGAACAGCAGTTTGCGTATGATACAATTATGGAAAAAGTAAAATCAGAATCGAGCGGTGCTTTCTTCATCGATGGTCCAGGTGGAACAGGTAAAACTTTTTTATATAAAGCACTCCTAACTGGTGTAAGATCTCAAAATTTAATTGCTTTAGCAACTGCATCTTCTGGAGTATCTGCATCTTTGTTACCTGGAGGTAGAACAGCTCATTCGAGATTTAAAATTCCTTTAGAAACAGTTGGTGAAGTTAGTTGCTCTGTTAGCAAGCAATCGTCTTTGGGAGCTTTGTTGAAAATGTCTAGACTAATAATTTGGGATGAAGCACCCATGGTAAACCGTTCTGCCGTTGAAGCTGTAGATAAAATGCTCAGAGATATTACTGATTGTAATTTGCCTTTCGGCGGTAAAGTGATTGTTCTCGGGGGAGATTTTCGACAAGTTTTGCCGGTAGTACCAAAAGGAAAAAAAGAAGACATAATGAGAGCTAGCTTAGTATTCTCTAACCTATGGCCTTTGTATTTACATCTACCATTAGTTGAAAATATGAGGGCGAAGTTGGATCCCACATTTTGCGATTACTTGTTGAGAATTGGAAATGGGACAGAAGAAGAACATACTTGTAAGTGCATTAAGCTTCCAAACGATATAATTTTGCCATTTGAGGATGAAATTACGTCTTTAAAAATGTTGATACATCATGTTTTTCCAAATATAGAAGCATATGCTGATAATTTACATGTGATGGCAAATCGAGTCATTCTTACACCTACAAATGAATGTGTTGATCATATTAACAGAATTTTACTCGAACATATTTCAGGTGAAATTTATACGTATTATAGTTTTGATGAATCAATAGACAAATCAGAACAAAGTCTGCAAGAAGATTTCTTGAATAGTTTGACTTCAAATGGTATTCCACCTCATGAGTTGAAACTTAAAATAAATTGTCCTGTAATGTTATTACGGAATATTAATCCTTCTGAAGGGTTGTGCAACGGGACACGTCTTACTTGTCGAAAATTTGAGAAAAATGTAATTCTTGCAGAAATCACAACTGGTGAATATTGTGGAAAACTTGTGTTCTTACCGAGGATCCCTTTTATACCTCTTAGAAGTGATCGAAACTCAATTCCATTTAAAAGAACTCAATTTCCAATTAGACCATGTTTTGCAATGACGATAAACAAAGCACAGGGTCAAACACTTGATTTTGTTGGTTTGTATCTTCCAGAACCAGTTTTCTGTCATGGTCAGCTTTATGTAGCATTATCAAGAGCAAAAACGAGTGCAACTATTAAAGTTCTACTGAAACCATCAAACACAGAGAATTTACACGAAACATGTACGAAAAACATCGTGTACAAAGAAATTCTTTCGCTCATACATCAGTAGAACTACAACCTTCTCATGAGTACTTTTGATATTTGTCATATCTCCATCCGTGAATCTGTTTCTTCGGCAACATACTTTCTTTGTAAGTTTTTAATCTCGATCAATCAATGATATATTTTCACTTATTGTTATTAACTTCAAGTAGATGGATATATGTAGGATATTCTATTTGAATAAATTTCTCAATCAAAAGAGCAAATATGCCATTTACTGTTCATTTGGGAAGTATTTCCCTTCCCCATTTTACCTTCCAACTTTTAGCATATTTTCCTTTTCCTACTTTCCCATTGTATCCTGCTTGTCGACAACAGAAGGATAATGTGGACATTTCTCTATTTCTCTTACTTTTCTTTCACTTTCCCCTTTCGATGACAAAGAAGACCCATTCCATTTTTACATCTTCAACCTCGAAGGTTTGAAGAACAGATCCCCTAAAACACAACCACCTTCGTGCTCCTCCATTTTTTTCAATGGTAGGTTTAGGACGGCTGCAGCTCCTCCATTTTTCTATAGTCGTACTCCTCCCATTTATTCATTTTCCTTCTCTCTCTCTCACTCTCTAGAACTTTATGTATATTGCACATTATTTTTCAGGGTCTCGTGGCTTTTCATTTTACCTGTGCGCTGTACAATTGTAGAGAAGAAATAAGGGGAAAGTTCAACCATTGAGCTCCTATAGAAATAAAATGGATTCTTCTCAGGCCATAAATTAAAGCAACATCAAACATTTTCGATTGAGGTATGTTTTTATAATTATTCCCTAATTTTGACATTGGAGCACTATATTTTGTTCAATTATGGGGATCATAATCTTTTACTATCTTTTTAAATTAAAGTTTACCTTTTTGGGCATATTTAACCTGAAATACACTTTTGTTGGCTGCAATTTATGGTCAAGTAGTTGACTTGTGGAGAATTCATTTATTACGCTTAATTTTAGAAGTCATTTGACATGGCTATGGTCTTTCATCTACTCAATTCTTTTTGTCTACTAACTTGTTTTATCCAATNAGCAAATATGCCATTTACTGTTCATTTGGGAAGTATTTCCCTTCCCCATTTTACCTTCCAACTTTTAGCATATTTTCCTTTTCCTACTTTCCCATTGTATCCTGCTTGTCGACAACAGAAGGATAATGTGGACATTTCTCTATTTCTCTTACTTTTCTTTCACTTTCCCCTTTCGATGACAAAGAAGACCCATTCCATTTTCACATCTTCAACCTCGAAGGTTCGAAGAACAGATCCCCTAAAACACAACCACCTTCGTGCTCCTCCATTTTTCTATAGGTATTATATTTGGGGGGGAATTTTCAATGGTAGGTTTAGGACGGCTGCAGCTCCTCCATTTTTCTATAGTCGTACTCCTCCCATTTATTCATTTTCCTTCTCTCTCTCTCTCTCTCTAGAACTTTATGTATATTGCACATTATTTTTCAGGGTCTCGTGGCTTTTCATTTTACCTGTGCGCTGTACAATTGTAGAGAAGAAATAAGGGGAAAGTTCAACCATTGAGCTCCTATAGAAATAAAATGGATTCTTCTCAGGCCATAAATTAAAGCAACATCAAACATTTTCGATTGAGGTATGTTTTTATAATTATTCCCTAATTTTGACATTGGAGCACTATATTTTTTTCAATTATGTGGATCATAATCTTTTACTATCTTTTTAAATTAAAGTTTACCTTTTTGGGCAAATTTAACCTGAAATACTCTTTTGTTGGCTGCAATTTATGGGCAAGTAGTTGACTTGTGGAGAATTCATTTATTACGCTTAATTTTAGAAGTCATTTGACATGGCTATGGTCTTTCATCTACTCAATTCTTTTTGTCTACTAACTTGTTTTATCCAATTTTTTCCTAAACAGATGAAAAATGACTTCATCTTCACTTAAACTTTTAACGATAGGAGGTAATTAATTAGTGCTAGAATTAAACAGTTAGATCGATAGATATTTGTTTTATGCTTCATTGTCTTAATTTCTATTGCTTATTCAGCTAATAATCAATATTTATACGTCATATTTCTGGTTGTTGAGCCTTCAACAATGCTAAATTTTGTCTTCATACTTCATTTTAAGGGACGAGCTCATTTTTATTTTTTTTTGTGAGTATTGGTACTGATTTTCAAGAACAAACTAATCTTTTTGCAAGTAAGTATTGGTACTGATTTCACAAGGCACCTAATCCTTCTTTTCGGTTTTTTATTTCCCGTGTGGCCTCATAATGTAATTTCCCAAATTAATTTAGTACCTTTTTCAATTAAGATATAGAATATTCAATGATGTTATGTATGTAAATTAACACTGTCGCTGAGTATATGGCATGAACTAGATGTAATTTATATATTAAGTTCCTTTTGTGGTTGAAGTTCCCAAATTTAATTCATTTATGTTTGTTCAAATATCAAAATTACAGGAATTATGTGGCTTTCTTGTAGGAGCTGTTCTATGCCAAATACATTTCAGATGATGGGTGTGATGCATCGAAAAGACCGTTATTACAGAGGTTAGCAAGTGTTGTGTATTGTGGAACGAAAAAATAGCAACTCAGTGAATAGGTTTTTTTAACCATTATTTTAGAGTTCTTTGCAAGTGTTCGGTATTGTGGAACGGAAAAATAGCAACTCAGCAAATGGAAACGACATACGGGGTCTCAATCCAAAAACTGGAAGGTTAGTGTCGGGGTAAAAGGTTCCTTGATATCTCTTGAACAATGGGTTTGTACTTGAATCTGACCTTTTACTTTTTTACTTATAACTTGTTATCTTGGAGCATGTGGAGATGGATATATACATATATGTATCTCTTGTAAATTTTGGTGATTCTATACTGAGAGAAGATGTATACATCTAAAAGAATTTTTTGGCCTAATAAATGCTGGAGATGGCTGAGTATCATCCTCGTAGTGTTGTTCCTACCAAAGCCCTTAAGCGTCCATCTATCAAAGTATGAAAGTAGAAATTGATTTTATTTTTTATTTTTTTTTCCAGAAAGAGATTGTGTTTCTTTCCCTCTTTTGAATTATTAATCAACCAAAGTTTTGAGCATTTGCAGACTACCGGATCTGTTATGGTTTTATTCACCACAAAAAGTAGAAATTGGAAAATTTAGTTGGCTGAAGAGATGTGTACTAGCAAAAAGGGATTCGATAACTTTACTTCTGAAGGAAAGTTTTGAGTTCTTTCTAAAATTTCTTGCAGAGCTATTTTGAGAAGATGAAAGGGAAAAATCGAAGAAAGGGGCTGTCTGAGCCAATCATAGAAGGAGATGATTTGAACCATTGTAGATAATCTATTTATGTTTTATATTATGTAATACCAAGAGATACTAAAGCACTTGTTTCACTGATAATGCAGAGACACATGTTGGCGAATTGTGTTGCTTCCGCTGAACTTTGAGAGTTTTCTTCTTCCTATAGCCTCCTCCTTCAAAACTTGATTAAAATGTCACGTAAGTAAATTGATTCTGTAACATCAGCCAGTAAGCTTAATTATCCGCTGCTGATAAAATGATTGCTTATCAAAATTAAAGGTATTTTTTTTCCAGCACCAAGAAACTTGATTATTGTTAATGATTTACATCAACATGTGATATATTAGGCCTAGAAGAACTAGAGGCATATGATGTAACCAAGGACAAGAGGTCAGATTTTGAAAACTCTGAAGATGAAAGACGGCGACCCAAAATTGGGGCTTTAAACAAGAAGGCAATAAATGCTTCAAACAAGTTCACTCAATTATCTTAAGAGAAGGAGAATTGACTACAGGGTTTCTTCAGTTTCCATCGAGGATGTGTGAAGTTCAAGAGAGGAAAGTTCTGTCTATGATCTGCGTCAAAAACTCATTCACAAGGATTTGTTACCAGTTTCTCATGATGACTATCACACTTTGTTGAGGTGAGTGTTCCCGATTTTCTTTATTACTATTCTTTTCTCCTTAATGTCTCCTGATCATGTCAGTGAATCTATATTTAGGTAAACCTTTGATGAGTCCATCATCACCGGATGTTGGCAGCTAGAATGACGGACAAGTGGTAGCATGTTTCCATCAGATCACATAATCCTTTTAATGGATGATTTCCTTAGTAAATTTTGTAATAGACATGATAACCATTTTTTGGTTCTCTTTCCTGAATGGAGCCAAAATCAAGTATTATATTGTGGGGGAAATTTGAAGTTTGGGACAACTAGAGCTAATCCATTTTTCTACACATCTAAGCATTATTCATCAAAATACCCTCCACGTCACGCTAACAATACCTTCAAAATAATACAACTCGTACATTGTACGGGCAGGAAACTAGTATATATATAATGATTTGTTTTTTAATTTTACAAAAGCAAACGCGTTTTTTTTATTATTATTTTTTAAAATAATTTTTCAAATTGACAAAAAGAACACGTTTTTAACAATCTCAAAATGGATACTCAAAACTGAAATACGAAAAAAAAACATTCCCCTAGCTTTTGTTTTAATGAGATTTTTGGAATAATGTATTTTGAAATAATAATTTTTAGAATCAATAATAATCGCCCTTGTTTGATTTTCTGTTTTTTCAAAATACATTTTTCTCTCTATTGTTTTTAATCACACATTTTTTAATAAAATAATATTACACGTAAACTCAAAAATTTTCATTATTTTTTAACTATACATTATCATCTATTTACTATTTCAAAATACATTCTACACCAAAAATGAGACTCAAAAATGCTCTAAATGTACATTACATTCTTGACATTTTGTTTGACATTCTCTTTGCATTCAAAAATTTGTAGGTGAAAAAAGTTTTTTTAAACTGTCCAATGGCGTTTCGTCACGTGGAACAATATAAACAATGATGTCCAAAATGATGTAAATGTAGATAATTGTTTTTGGGATAATATTTGATTAAAAAAGAGATTTTTATTTCCATGTAATGTTATTTTATTGTAGAATGTATGGTTGAAAAAAAATAGAGAAATATATGAAAATTTTAATGGGGTCAAATATGGGCTTATCCTATTTCTAATTTTTTAAAAAAAAATCACTTTTTTAAATTCTCAAAAAAATACATTAAAATGATCCTTAATATTTTTAATAGCTCACGTAGTTGTCTCTAGTCACTTAGGTTAAAAATATATATATTTTATGTACAAAATTATTTTTATGCCTCCTTCGGTTGTTTCTTAAAAAGGGAGAAAAAATATACTCAATCAAAGATAAATATTAATTGATATTCATTTTAATTGGTAATTAGCACAAAACATCTCATCGCTTGTACTCATTGTGCAAATTGTCTCTTAACATTTGAAATTTAGCAATTGCACTCTCATTTCAACATTTTTCATGCGGAGTTGGTCATTTCTTTTCATTCCGTCAATTCTTCAGTTAGATATAAGTAAACGGAACAAATTGTCCCTATTGTTTGCTTTCATTGCACAAAATGTTTCTATCGCTTGCCTTCATTACGTAAAAGGTTTTTACCGTCTATTTTCTCCATTAAAGTATTGTAAAATAACTAATTACCCTCGTTTTAAATAAACAAATAAATAATAAATAATTTCAACTAAAGTTTCAAATTTTTTTAAAAAATCACAAACCCACTTAAAATAATTTTAAAAATACTTACAAAAGAAAATTATTTCATCTTCCCAATTAACCCCACCTACCCCTAGCCCCATTCTCTACCCTCAATGGCCACCACCACCATCAAAATAATTAAAAAGAAAATTAAAAGTAGGGGCTAATAAAAGTTGCTTACTTTCCTAGCAGCGAAGGAAAAGGGAACGGCTTTTTTCGTGGTAATGATGGGCGGGTCTCATGAGATCTATGCGGCCATTGGAATCAAACGAAGGTTGAAGGACTATTCAATTCATCATACCCACCCCCAAGAGCATCCAATCCGTGCTTGAGGGAAATTTGTTACACTAAAACTCCTCATAAATAGTGGTCGATATAACCAGTCTCCGTCTCTCTTCGGCCCGAGGAGAAGATAAAGCCCAGAAGACCAGAACGATGGAGCGAGGCNCTTGATGGTCAGTTTGACTTTTTTATTATCGAGCAAAAAAATATTCAAGTAAAAATAAGAAAAGAATAAAAAAACAAAATTGCTCTTCTTTCTTATCCAATTCCGCACTCACGGCCACCCATTCTCCCAATCCCATCATATGGCCATCAAGGGATTTGTCTATTTTTCTGTAATCAAGTTTTGCGTTCCAATATCTTTAGTTTTTAGCAAAGTTACCGTAGCTTTTTTAGGGATTGAGCTATTTTCAACAAATTCTCATTTCTATTTTCTTGTTGCCGATTACATACACATATATACACACTGCATTAACTTTTAAGTTTTACTCTAATTTTGTTGAAGTTTTTTGTCTCACAAAATGATTTCTTCTTCCATTAAAGGATTTATTTGAGATTTCAATTCGAACACCAATCCTAATTGTTTTAATTCAAACCAGTTAAGAGGATTTTTTTTTTTTTAGTTAATATGTTTTATATTATTTTAAGTGGAACTCGTTTTCACAATTTGAAAAAATTAGGACTTCGATTGCAATTATTTATTTTTTTATATTTTTTATTTCTTTTCTATTTGTCTATTTAAAAAGGATGATAGAACAATTATTTTACAATACTTTAATGGAAAAAATAAACTATAAGGACATTTTGCACAATGAAGGCAAACAATATGAACGTTTTACACTATGAAGGCACATGTTAGTAATGTTTTGCACTAATTACCCATATTTGATAGATGGAGACGGTAAAATGGGGGTGTAAATGTTAAATTTGAAATAATAGGGATGATTTGTTTGAGTGTAAATAATGGAATGTTTTGCGCTAATTACCCCTAATTTCAATTACACATTTTATGGAACTTGCTTAGGGATGGTAAAAAGACCCGTTCAACCCGATAACAACGGCCCCACCCCGAATGGGGTGGAGATTAGAATGATTAGAGCGATTATACTAAACTAGTATGTGGGAGTGAATTACTAAACTGGTAGAGCAACGTTAATTTTTCCTAATGAAGTTCATCTCCAATCACGTGGTAGTAACATCAATGCAACCACGTAAAGTACCAGAGACTGGAGATGAACTCCATATAGATAAATAGAATTACTCTTATTTTAGACACTAATTTAGATGGAAATATGTGTAGCGTAGAACGATAAATTTATTTACATTCAATGATAGATGGCATATTTAATTGGATTATCATGGGTTGTCACCTAAATGATTTTTTTAACATCATAATGGCTATACAACATGATTTCATTTACAATCCCTATCAACCAATGATCAAAACGTGCGTGAGCTCGTATTTCCCATTGTATCGCGACAAAACATTTTTGCCAAATATTATATCACAACAACTCTTGGAGAATCTACAATGTAAAAGTATGTGAGAAGTTGCAACGTCTGAATCCTTAAGCAGAAATTGTTTGATTCTATAGTTCATTTTGGAAGGAAAAAACTCGCTCCTTAATTGTGATAATTTCTCGACTTTCGAACTTCAAAGGCATTTATGAAACAGTGCTCGTGTATGCCATTCACCACAAGACAACTTAAGTTACATTAGATAAAAAATTGCATGCGATGCTTATATATATACATACATACATACTAGGTTTAAGTAACGTGCAATGCACGTTTACTTAGTTTATATATAATTTTTTTGGTTAAGAATTAAATTTTATTAATAAAGATGTAATTTTTTGGTTAATTAAATAACTAATGATGTAATGTTTATGTAATCGATAAATAATTACACATTGTGATTTATTAAAAAAAGAGCATTAATAGAATCTATAGCATCGTCCTATATATAAAATCGCTCATAGTTTTATGAAAGCTGTTTGAGATAATTTTGATTCTAAGATAACGATTCAGCATTTTCCTCATCTTGCACTGCTTCAATAGAGAGGACATTAAACTGCCTATATTTTTTCTCCTTTACTTTCTCTGGATCTACATAAACTTGAATCTTCCAAATTTCTTTTGATAATTTCTCTGCAACGCTTTTAACATATGATCGATTTTCTTACAAAATAATTTTTGAATATGTTTACATAATTAATAAAAAAATCCAATTATTTTTAAATAACTCATTATAATAAAAATCAAGTTTTGAAGAAAAATTTAAGAAATACCTCTCCAACATGTCCCATCAATTCAACTGTCGAACAATCAAGTGCATGTTCTGCTACTTCACTAAACATAGTAGCAGTTAGTTTTCCAGTATTATAGTCCAATTGAACATATCCCCTAACACTTTAAATGCATTGAATATATTAATTTTAATTTGAATATTGTTAAATTCTAAATTAAATCAGACATCAATTTTAAATTAAAATTGTAAGATACATACCGTAGTATGTAGACCCATTAACTTTTGCAATATATACAAACGAAGCGTTCATTGTATTTATATCCAATTCCTTTATTACAGTCAACGCATGACATGTAATAAAATACTTGGACAAACTCAAGCACATTTATCTTCGCCCATATCCAAATTTTTGCTTTCTACATTAAATCATAATCAATTTTTACAATGAATGTTAGTGTAAAGACAAAAAAATGTATAAGTTTGTGTTTCGTACTATTATATTATATTAAAGTTTGCACTTAATCATGAACCTTTTGTACATAATAAAATAATAGATAGCATTACATTACAATACAAAACTAAATAAATAAATATTTTTTATTCATTAAGTTCAATATACCTTACCAAATAAATTATTAGCATTTTTAAACTGATAATCTCCACGTCCATTTTGTTTTTTTAGCTTAATTTTTTCCTGGTGACTAAAATGTAGTAATACAAAGCATTTCGCATTTCCCATTCATTTATTATTAGATAATGGAATTCCAATAGATACAACATCAATTGCCATAAACGGTGGCTTAATTGCTATTTAATGGAAACAATAAAACTAGCGGCGAAAAAAGATTTTCCGTTAAAACAACCAATTCCGTTAGATTTTCTGTTAAAACAAAAATTTCCGTTTCATAGGCACTTTTTATATATATAAGTTGGTGAGATCGAAGAAAATAAGCAAAAGTTAACAAATTTGGAGAAAATGCTAAATTGTAAGGGATCCAAAGTTTGGGGATTAAAATGTAAATACTTAAAAGTTGTGCCGAACCTCACGATGAAGATTTGAGAGTGCTCGGAGTCAATTGGATAAAGGAAGACATCAATGGAATCAAATTTAGTCGAAAGATGATCACAAATCAATTTCCAACCGAAAAGTTATGCTCCGATGTTTTAGTATCATATTGAGACCTATTTTTGGCATAGAAAATGATCGAATTGGATAATGATGTCTGAATCAAAGTTGTAGCCAGATGAGTTAGCTTTCCAATGCATTTTGAATCGCCTCAATCGGACATCGGAATACAAAGTTATGATAAAAACACTGAAAGAACGTGCATCTGCCTATTTAAAATAAGAAATTCCGTTACATAATCTGTTAAAACAACAAATTCCGTTAGTTTTTCCGTTAAAAACAAGAAATTCCGTTACATAGCCACTTTTAATATATAGAAGATATATCATTATATGATTATATGGAATATTTAGTATGGTAGTTATTATAAAAGGTACATTTGTAAAAGGGATTGCAATATATGACTCCTTGTCATCACGTCATAAGAAACTCGTGTCAAGTTCGATATTCACTGATCGTGGTGGAACTCGTCCAGTATTGTGTTTGTCCATGTACATGCTCGATTGCTTTCTCCTATTAGCCTACGAAGCTCCGATTATGAATGGGTCATTAGAAGATTACAATTTATGACATGGCTTAAATATACGAGTAATACTATTTAGTCTCATTGAGTTTGCAATCCCAATTTAGGTGACGTTGATATGACATTAAATGATAAGCGTTATATTTCATTTAGCCTATCATTTAGTATCACCTAGACTGGGATTGCAACACCAATGAAATTACATAACATTATTCTAAATATATTACCTTTATTGCTATTTTTTTTTTTTTTGAAAATTAACTTAATTTTTTGCATCATTAATAAGCGCTTAATCCAATTCGAATTAGGAAAATTCTAGTGGTACATAATTTTTCCACATAATGGTATACATAATATTCACATGGGATGGGACCCACTTTTTGAAATGAATATTATGCCAACCCCTATGTTACCCCATGTACCCCAAGGAAAGCTCTTCGAATTATTAGCGAATAGAATAGCAGCATCCACCCCAATTCAAATTTATATCATTACTTTCCATGCTTTTAGATCGGAGTGTTGAAAAAAAAATGGAGGTGGAACCCTCCTTTTTTCTTTGGGGCCTGGGCAGTTGGAGGTTGCAACTTTATTTGAAATCATATACTACAATGCTCTGGTTTGTCTCCTATTTTTTCATATTTTTTTTTCGTACTTATTTTCAATTACACATTAACACGATAAAATATTTTACATATAAATCCAAATATTTTTTTATACTTTTCAATCACACATTTTCCAAAAATTTACCATTCAAAATAATGTTTTTTCAAAAGATTGACTACCCAACATGGGCTAAAGATTCTGGCATTTTATTACATCTTTACCCTACCATGTTAAAAATGTTTTTTGTTTGTCCTCATTTTAAATTATACATTTAATCGAATCTACAATTTTTACCAACTTTTCAACCATGTATTTTATTAACTTTTTATAATTTACTAATTTTTTTTTATCCAAACCAAGTAGGGGTTCTATTTTGATTAGTCTTTCTTTCATCACAAATTTATGTAGCATTCCTTCGTTTAATGATACGTTCTTCATGTAGATAGATATAAGATCTATGAGATTATTACCTAGAAGTACATTTTGCGTTACAATGCTTTCTATATGATAAAAATGATTCCATGATCCTAAATCGATCGAACTTGGGATCGGAGCTCAACTTAATCATTGTTATCAATTCCATCACTATAAAGTAACGGAACATGTACGTAGTTGTTAAAAACTACACGTTGAAAATTCAAAAATCCAGACATTTGACTTATCAGAGCATCACCAATAAGCTCTTTAAACATAATATGCTTTCTATTTTAAAAAATCAACCCTTAAAAATTAAAATTATGCTTCAAGATTAACATTTTAAAATAAAGAGTATGTTTGACTTTTTTGAAAAGTCAAACATACTCTCTATAATTAAATGTATCCAAAGCATTTTAATTTTTAATTGAAAAAAATAATATAATAATTTACAGGGAAGTTAGAGTAAATAAAAATTAGAAAAAACAATAAACATTTTTGGGAGTAATAAAATTAAGTGTTAAATATAAATAGCATGTTGGAGTACTTAAAAATTTTTACTCTCTAAATTGTAAAATATGCTATTTAAAAACAGAATCCCTTGAAGATACTCTCATAGTTTCCCACTCGTTCCATTTAATTGATTTATTGCAATGAAATGTGTATATTTTTTTAAGCGGACCTTGCTAAATATGCATAAAGGTTTACATAAGGGATTATATAATATCACACGACATTCTACTCTTTGTCAATTTAAAACATATTCATTTTTTTCATTAAATCTTTTCCCTACATATCATTTTAAGTAATCATTTATATACTATTTTATGTACAAGTAGTATAATCCCTTTTAAATTTGTATTGAAGTAATTGAGAAGAATAACTTGAAAAAAATTGAGCCTAAGTCCTTATCTGAAAATCATTTTTGCATCGTACTCATTTTCAACGACACAACCTTCAAATAAACATAATTTTTCACCACATATTTAATTTACAAGAATTACTTTCACGCACTAAATGGATAAAAATAATGTTTTCTTTTTACAATATTTGATAGTGTTCTAAAAATTTTATTCCAAAAATACCGCGTGGCAACTCAGTTGTGTACACCGTGCACGTTCTGTCTCGCTAAAAGCCGGAAAACGCGCTTTGCATAGGGCTACCTATTCATTTTCCAACTCTTTTTTTACCCTCCTTTTGGTTTCGCCTTTGTCCCTGGCTCCCTCATAATTTTGAATTTCTCAATTGCATTCTCCGTTTCAAGCCCATCTCTTTCTCCTCTTCCACTACAACCATTTCCTTCAGTTATCCATTTTCCCATTTCGCTTTATTGTTCCATATTGCTCTAGAAATGACAACATCCGCAGTGAAAAACAACTTTTTGCCACCCGGATTGGTGTCCAATCTGCAACAAGTTCTCTTAAGCCGGAATCCCGCCGGTGGCGGCGATGGCGACGAGTTACCCAAGATCAACACCCGTAAGGACGATTCGTCCAAGCCCACTTCTTTTAGCAACGGTGGCGATGCTTATTCCGAGACTAATTGTGATGATGGGTCCAAGCCCATTGTTTTGCTCACAAATAGTGATGGTATTGAGTCCCCGGGGCTTTCATATTTGGTTGATGCTCTTGTTAAGCTAGGCCTTTACAATGTCCACGTCTGCGCCCCCCGATCGTAGGTCTTCAAGCCTTTCTATTCTCAATTTTTTACTCACTTTGTATGCATATTTTGTGGTAATCGCGTGGAATAAATATGTTACTTCTTTTTTCATTTGCCACATGGGTTTTGGATATTTTCACTATTGGAATTTGAACATATAGGATACACATTATGGTTTTTGGACGATTTGATTTCCGTGACGTGTATATGAGAATTTATGAGTCTTTTTTTACGTTAATTGTTGATTTAGTAGATGTGGATTGACAGGGATAAAACAACATCGGGCCACGCGGTGACACTTAAAGAGACGGTTGAGGTTGTTTCAGCTGAAATTAACGGTGCCACGGCCTATGAAGTTTCTGGTATCATCACGTTCTTACACTTTAACCATTGGAATTCATATAGGTTAAATGTGTTTTGGAGGATGGTTTACATGTTGGTTATTCAAGTTCTTATTAAATAATGTTGTGCTTTGTGCATCTTTAAGGAACTCCGGTGGATTGTGTATCATTGGTATTATCGGGTGCACTATTTTCGTGGTCAAAGCCTCTATTGGTATGCCTTAATGCATTCATCATGTATATATGTGGTGTGTATTCATTTCGCTTAGCTCCTCAAATAAGCAATCCCATTTTGTTATGCTCTGCCTGATATTTAGGTAATAAGTGGTATCAACAGGGGCTCAAGTTGTGGTCGCAACATGTAAGTTATTGCAAATATCAACTATCTTTCCTTAGATAACTATGAATTCAGTCCTTTTATTTTCAATTGATTTATAGAATCATTGGACTTATATGGGTGACTTGACAATGCCCAGGTTTTATTCGGGCGTAGTGGCTGGAGCCAGGGAGGCGTTGATTAATGGCTTGCCATCCATATCAATATCACTAAACTGGTGAGCTGTTGGTCCCTGTTGTACATTAAGAAAATTAACCATTCCAGTGGTTGTATATAATAAGTTAGGTATTTGGTGTATTGCAGGAAGAGTGATAGAAGTCAGGAAAGTGACTTCAAGGATGCTGTGACTGTGTGCTTACCGCTGATAAATGCAGCCATAAGGGACATAGAGAAGGGGGTTTTCCCCAAAAATTGCTCATTAAATGTAGAAGTTCCAACATCCCCCTTGGCAAACAAGGTTTTGCTTCTAACGTCTTATTCTGGATATTGGTCCTTTTTTGCCTGAAATCATCTCATGATATAGTGTTTAGTTCCTCATTAAACAAAAGAGGAGAGAAAGCAACATATGTAATTATTGTTGTGTAGTGTTTGTGAATTTTGATCGCGTGTTAATTCGTATTGTTACATAATATTCTATTCTTGAATTTGATTTACTTATGCAGTCTCATTCAATCACTAAGTTGTATACTTGTATTCTGGACAATTCTTTATCATGCTGGGAAGAAGTTATTATGCTACTGAGTCAACAGGTTTACGAATGGTAGAGTCATATATGCAACTCTTGGATTTATGTTGCATGACAACAATGAGAAATGAGTCAGACACTCCAAGGGAAAACTTGAAGCTAACTGATAACTTGCTGAACTTATTTTGTCCTTTTTGTTTCTTTTTATAAATATTGTAACAGAGAAGTAGCTTAGTTACTGTCTAAGGGAAAAAAAAAAATTTGCCTGTTGGAGTCGTATGCAAGCATTATGCATCAAGTGTCGTTTAGTGTGGGCTTTGCTGGCATTTTTTTATCCATTTTGTCGTGCAACATTTTTTTTCCGTTTGTCAGGGATTCAAGGTTGCCAAGCCAAGTCTTTGGCGGTCTACTCATAGCTGGCAAGCCATTTCAGCCACCAGGAGTCAGGCTGCTTCAAGATTTATGGGTAATCAGCAAAACATTGGGTTGCAGTTTGCACAGCTTAGTCGTGATGCCTCTGCTGCTGTAAGTGGTCTTTATATGTTTCTTCAGTGGTCTGTTTCTGTAATCTGTATCAATGTGTTGGCACTTTATCATTTTTTTAGTTTATTTTATTTACAGGATTCTGACCTTTACCATTTAAATTCTTTCAGGGTGCTGCTCGTCGTTTAACCACACAAAGGAAGAATATTGAGATTGTTGAATCAGTTGGTGTTGCTGGGAAAGTTGATTCCAAACGGACGGTGAAGTATTTTCGCTTAGAGGTATATTTAAAAATTTCCGCTAGGGAGCAGCATGAAGCTTCTCGATATCTAGCTCTTTGTTTACTTCTCAGGAGCTTAGCTGTAGTATTTGGTGGTTATTATTGTTGCATCATTGAGAGGGTGTAGAATGTTTAGGATACATGCAAATTTTTTGATTATCTACAAATCAAATGGTGTACCACACTGAAGTCCTCAACTCTAATAATTATTCCCTGTTCATGAACAGGAAATACCTAGATTCTACTTTTGTATTGTTGTTCCTTTATTGGTTTTCAGTTGATTCTTTTGGGGAATAACTTGTGTAGTGATTGATGGTCGCAGATGCTTAACAAGGAGCAAGAAGTACAAGACGAGGATCTTGATTTTCAAGTGCTCGAAAATGGATTTGTAAGTATTAAATCCTTTTTGTGGTTTCATATACATGCTTGAGCACAAATATGTATATATATCATATACGTATATTGGTGCATGAGTGCATGTCGTTTAACATTACATGTTACTTGTCGATTTGATGGTCTGATAGTATTGCTTTCAACAGAGAGATTTCTTTCTGGACTCGGATCATTTTTTAACTATCCTCACATTTTGGAACAGGTTGCAGTTACTCCACTCTCTCATTCAATGCAGGCGGAGTCGGAAATTAATATGGCCGTTTCAGACTGGATTCCTTCTGCACTGCAAGAGGAGAAATGATGACAACTTCCGGTTGACAAGAATCAGTAATTTTGAACATTTGAAGACAGTATTCCTGCATTTGTGCCACTTTCGTTTGGTTTAGAACTGGGATACCTACCTTATTTATTTCTTACCTTCCTCGAGCTATATAGTTTTCGGGTCTTAAATGTATTCTTGAGCAAACGGTTCTCCCTTTTAATTTATATGGTTGGCCTGTTGCAATACGGATTCTTTTCTAGTTACTTTACACCGACAGGACTGTCGTAGGTCGGTTTTTACTATTTTCCCTCTAATTTTGGGCGATGTTGGTTGGTGTGTTGTATTTGACCGTGTAATGGGATGTGGCCAAGTTCGACTGATTGGATCCTTTATGTGACCGGTCGTCTTGATTATGTAAATTACTGTATTTGCTTGTAGCTCTTGGTTTTCTTGGTCATTTCAAGACTGATTATTGGAAAAACAACCTTAATTTGTTAGAACTTCTCATTTGTTACTGTAGTCTGTACTTGCACTATGAGATATCATAGTATGCTCCGAAATGCGACTGCTGCCACTAACAGAATTTGCCCAATTGGCGCCCTTCAAAACCCTAATTCGCACCGGTGTTTCTCCGATGTGTATGTATACTTGTTTATATATGTGCTGAGGGTTGAATGTACATGTAATTAATGTACTCTTTTTTGAACTAGTCAAAATTGAATGTGTATTGCATGTTATTTTGAAATATTTTATTAGTTTTGTAGAAGTAATATTCGATACAAATATGTTGGGAGGATTTGATGAATTTCAAATGAACTAAAGAAAATAAAATTTAGAACATAAATTTAAGAGAAAAAAATTGTACCCTCAACTTTTATGATTCAATTTTTTCGTGGTGTTAAAATACTACAAATGAGCAATTTTTTAATACTACATTTGATACGTAAGAATTAATTGCAAACACATAAATTTAAACATCCACTAAAATTCTTGGATATATGAATAAAAATAAATTTATCTATAATAACCTTAGAGTCCTTCGTGTAATTCAAGATTCATCAACTCAAGATTAATATGAATGTTAATTAATTGAGAATTAATAACACGAAATTCATAAATGACAATAATTTTGTAGTATTTATTACATAATGCTTTTAACTAATACATTTTCGTAGGATGGTTATATTGTCACCACGGTTTAATTGTAGTTAAGCTCCTCAATATTTTCTCATTGTAGCAATTATTTCATTAACTTTCTTTTATCGAATTCTTATATTCAATTTTCCATTAATTAGTATGTCTCGTCCTTATAATGATTTATATCAAAATATTTTATTCTCATATTTTGAAATGAGGGAAAAATATTTTTTTTCACACTTTTTACTTATTTATTTTTTTAAAATACGATGAAAAATAAGTTGTTCTATTCTATTTCAATGGACTTTTGGACGTCAAACTGTTATCAAATACAAAATGTGTTAACTAATGGAAAGTTTGAAGATAAGAATGACATAAAAAACCGTTAGGAACATAAGTGTTACAATAAGCAAAGATTAAGAACCTTAAGTACAATTAAAATATGGTGCCAAGAAATAAAAATTGTGCCGTGAATTACCCTTTTTCGTATTATGGAAAGCAAAGCTACGAGGAGTTGCTAAAGAGTTGGCAAATTGCAAAGGATCGGGCAAGATAGCGACATCTAGTGAGTTGCTATCCTCACAGAGTCACAGTTCAGAAGGCATATAAAGAAGGATATTTCATCCATTTTGGTGGCTCTAGAGGCTTATCTCCACATTTCCAATGTTTTATTGCAGTTGCATATAGGAAATGATTCGTTGAGATGTTCGCTTTAGCTTTCTCTTTTGCTTCTTTCCTGATGAATGTTTGAGCTTCGTACTCAAAATGCTGAGCTGCTATGTGAAGTTATAGTTGTCATTATTGTGGTAATCTGATTTGAAGCTTATGTTTCATAAGGTCACTTGAACTAAATTTTATTTGTAACATCTGCTGATCTGCATTTGGTTTGTATATATAAATCTTGTGACTATTAAATTTTCAAATCTCAATGAAATCATGATTTATATGTACATTCTATTCATTTGTTAAACAAACTGACACATATGTTGTTAGATATGCATGAAACTGTACTGTGCTAAATGTTTTCGAACAATTGAGTTTATGTCATGGTGCCCTTAAGCTTGCAATGCTAATATAGATTTTTTAAAAATTGAAACTGAAGTCATGGAGAGCACAACTACAAATTGAACTTGTAATCAAAAAATATAGCCTTACAAGTCTGCTGAAAATCCTAGATTAGCAAAGTTTAAGGTGTTGTCCTAGGAAGCTGCTATGGCATCAAGTTTGAGTAATACCATCCGTTGATCAGAGAATCGTCGGTACCATGTCTAGGGAACCCATCTTGGAGGAAGAGAGGGGTTCACGAACATATTGCCGCTGCATGGTAATGGAGATAACGATAAGGACGATGATGAGGAAGTCAAGGATGTGGACGATGAAGATAATGTGGAACGTGCTGACATGACGGGTTGAATATACTCTATGTGATCAGAGGACAACTTCATATCATTTGCATAAAGCCTCCCATAAGGGATATTTGAGGAGCCAGCAATTGATTCAAGTACTTTTGGCAGCACAGGAAGCATTGTGGGATTCTGATCCAAGAGCTTATTAGTAACAAAAAATGGATATTCGTCAGAGCTCACAATGGAATTATCTTTGGGTTGACGATCAATGAATTGAGGCAGGTATCCCAGTGGACATGCTGGTGCAGATGAAGGCGAACTGTTGAACATAATGGCACTGTGACTCAACTGATCGGCTTCAAGTTCACCAAAATCAATCCCTTGCAGTGGTGGTGGTGGTGGGGTGGGGATGTACGGTTGATTCAACTCGGCATATTGGGGGAAATTTGAGTTTGGATTGGAAAGATTTGAAAATGGGGCCCGATCAAAGGGGTTTGGAGAAATGTGTTTCTTCTTGATGGCTGAGTTCCAGAAGTTTTTGACTTCATTATCTGTTCTCCCAGGAAGGTGCTTGGCTATTTGAGCCCACCTGCACACAATAAACTTTATTTTGCCTCAAAATGTACTGTAAATGTTTACAGAACTATCATTTGATCATGGGACGAGATTACCTATTGCCGAGAATTCTTTGAAGTTCAATTATGAGTTCCTCTTCTTCTAAAGAGAAATTCCCTTTCTTCAAATCAGGTCTGAGGTAATTTATCCATCTTAGTCTGCAACTCTTGCCACATCTTTGTAACCCTGCACCCACAAGATAAACACATATGCAGTGTCTGTATATTTATTCATATTCGTTGGGACATGAATGCATTCACGATTTACACTCAAAACGCACTTTTGACGGAACCAGTGGTGGATGTNACACACGCAGGCACACGCACATTTACGAATACCTGCAAATCTTGGAAGCGAGCTCCAACTGCCATGGCCATAGGTGGAAATGTAGTTTTTGAGTTTCTCATCTTCTTCTGGTGACCACAGCCCCCTCTTCACTTCTTGTTTGTTGCAGCAAGAATGTTGTCCCATTTTCTATCTCTTTTTAAAATGCAGGTGTACAGCAATGGCAGGAGATCGATCATATGTACACATGCAGAAAATATGCGTGTTTGTGTGTGTGTAACAAAGAAACAAGAATTGGATGAAAGAAGCCCCAGAGCCCAGAGGACAACAGATGATGCCAACTGAGAGTGCACTGAAATTATGAATTTAATGTGGTGATCTGTGCACATGTGGCTGACTTATGAAGGACCTGTTTTAGTAGTTGGGGGTGAAATCTGCCTTATGAGTCTTCTACAAGGGTTTGCAAGTCATGAGATTGGTCAATAGTAGTCCACGAGTAAGGCTTGTTTGGCATGACTTTTGAACCCGTTTGGTCAATTTTATGAAAGCTGTTTTTTCAATTAGAAGAGTTTTTAGAAAAATCTGGTCTAGAAATGGCAAAAAAAAAAAAAAACCCGACAAATCTGATACCTGCGGTTCGGGGCGGGGGATTACCCGATTAATCAGGTATTCAGGTCGGGGACGGGATAAGTAACTTCGCCCCAGGGTAACGGGTACCCCGCCCATTAATTTTTTTTTTTTTAATTCAATACTTTAAATAAAAAATTTCACGAAATTTCATTAGTTTTAATAGAAAATGACAACTAAAATTATCTAAAAAAATATGACAAACAATAAAAGCATTAGTTTACTAAATATATTTGAATAATTTAACTTTTAAAAATAAAAAAATATATTATTGTCTCATTTTAATGAATGTGGACAATAAAATGAATTATCAAAATATTAAAAAGAAAATTAAAAGGGGTACCCTCCACCCCCCGATCTCATCTTAAATAGGCAACGAGACTGGGGAGGTTGCCCGACCCGCCCCATTGTCATCCTTAATCTGGTCCAATGCGACTTTCTCTAAAAGCATCTTTGGAAAAAGGAACTTTTTTAAAAATATGTTTCCAAATAAAAATTAAGATAGCTTCCTTCAAAAACTCTTTTATAGGAAGTAAAAACAACGTTAAATGAACCCTAAGTCATCCAGACGTTGTAGACCCCGCTTTTTTTTGACATATTTTCGAAGTTCAAGTGATAATTATATACTCAAAAAGGAATATTTGGTATGCACTACTCGACAAGGAGTTACAAACACGATGAATCTAGACAAATTTGATATCCTCGCAGACCCTTTTATGTGGTAAATAACATACGCAAAACGAATCATATGAGGAACTCGAAAGGTTTTGAATTCTCTCAAAATATGCATCTCAAACTTGCTCTCCAATTTACATGAGAATTTTCAATAAGCATCTCTTCTTTTTCTACCTCGAAATTTTCAAAAGCGATGTATTTTGACATATTCTCTCTTTCATACTAGGAAATTGAATGGTCCCAAATACTCATTTTTAGTATGGCAATCTTTGATAAATTAGGAATAATCAGAAAAACGTCCTTAAAGTGCATATATGTCCAAGTTATCCACTAATCCTTCTTTGCCATTATACATAATACTCTTCCCTTTTCAATATTTCATAAGAAAAATATCAAACTATTGTATAGAGTGCTTGGCCATTGGATCTTTCTCAATGTTTGTAGAAGATTTTACACCAATAATATGCATATTATATTCATCGAGAACATGTCGTTAATATGAGTCAAATCGAAATATCATTCGACTTATCGAAATCTGATTTGAGGATACAAATTAGCGAATGACTAACTTCGAATATATGAATATGGATTCATCACTTTCAATCTTGAACGTGTGTCATTCTTTAATTCAAACATTACATCTTAGATTATTTTGATACTTATTCTCTTGTATCGAGAATAACTTATATCCGGATGATAACTGCTATTGCGGCCAAATTACTTTGATACGTATTTTCTTGTGTCGAGAATAACTTCTATCCGGATGATAACTGCTATTGCGGCCTTGCAAAATCTGGAAATACTTCAGATGGATATAAAAACATCTTTCCTAAATGGAGATTTAAATGAAGAAATCTACATGGAGCAACCAGAGGGATTTTCGGCTCTAGGTCAAGAAATGAAAGTCTGTAAACTGGTTAAATCTCTTTATGGTTTAAAGTAAGCACCGAAACAATAACATGAAAAATTTCATAAATCTATGTTTTCTAATGGTTTTAGAATCAACGAGTGCGACAAGTGTGTATATGTCAAGGACACTAATGATGGATATGTCATATTATGTCTATACGTCGACGACATGCTCATTGTTGGTAGCTCTAACAAGATTATCAAAGCCACTAAGAATATGTTAAACTCAAAGTTTGACATGAAAGATATGGGTCTCGCGAATGTCATTTTCGGAGTAAAAATTACTCAAACACCAAAGGGACTTGTGTTATCTCAATCTCATTACATTGATAAAATACTAGACAAGTTCAACAAGTCAGATACCACTATGGCCAGGACTCCAGTGGATTTAAGTCTCCATTTATCTAAGAAAACTGGTGATGGTGTGTTACAGTTAGAATATTTTCGGATAATTGGGAGTTTAATATATTTAATGACTTGTACGAGATCGAATATAGCATACTCAGTTAGCAGATTGAGTCGCTACACAAGTAACCGATGTGCTATTCACTGAAAAGCCATTTTCAGGGTGTTACATTATTTGAGGTACACTCGAGATTTTGGACTGCATTATTCTAGATACCCTGCAGTAATCGAAGGGTATGCTGATACAAATTAGATATCAGATATGTCGATTCAAAATCTACTAGTTGGATATGTCTTCACTCTTGGTGGTGCAGCTGTCTCTTGGAAATCGTCAAAACAAACTTGCGTCGCAAGATCCACAATGGAATCAGAGTTCATCTCTTTGGACAAAGCAACTGAAGAAGCAGAGTGGTTTCGCTAATTTGTTGAGGATATTCCTAGATGGTCAAAACTTGTGCCTGCAATTTGTGTTTATTGCGATAATCAATCAGCAATTGGCAAGACACAGAGCATATGTATAACGGCAAGTCTCGACATATTCGAAGATGACATGATACCATTCAATAACTACTTTCACAAGGTATTATCACTCCGAACTACGTAAAGTCAAAGGATAATATTGAGGATCTGCTAACCAAATGGTTAACTCGAGAGCTAGTTGAAAAAGCATCGAGGGGAATGGGCATGCAGCCTATGACGACGTTGAAAGGTATCATAGTGGAAACTCAACCTAGTTGAATGGAGATCCCATGATCTAGGTTCAAAGGGACAACTAAATCATGTATATCTGTGAATCACTGAGAAGGTTCTCCTTCTGCTCATTCCTATGGTGCTCACAGTGATTACAAGAAGCAGGTTAAGCTATGCTTTTAATGACCTTAAGCATTGTTGTGACATACTAAGTTACGAGGTTACCTATGTGAGTGTGAAGTGGGATCGCTTCTATAAGGATTGGGGGGCTACATCCTTGAACAAATATTTGCAGAACCAGGCGATGTGTTCATGGCCAAAACGAACACAATATTGAGAATGACGCTGTGTCTAGAATAGTCCTGTGTGAGGTCTATTGTCTTGGTTTACACAAACGGCGAAACAGTTTAAGGCATCAGATCCACTGATTTGCTAGCAATACTCGATTGATTTTCATAAGGGAAAGTTCAAAACTAAATGCTACCTATCCTAAGTAGGATTGATTCGTTTTATTCTCTCTTTTCTCTTTAGTCTTTGCTTTCCAAATTTTCATTCATGTGGGGGATTGTTGGAAAATAATTGTATTGAATGAAAATCAGCCACTTCAGTTTCAGAAATTATGAAACCACTTCAGTTTCAGAAATTATGAAATCAGTTTCAGCCTTTCATCTTCTTCTTTTTCAGAAATTCATCTTCAATGTTAATTATATTAATGACCTTCAATGTTAATTGTATTAATGACCATGCTCCTCCTCTATGGGTATAAATAGGGGATCTCTCGATTGGAAGAAACACAAGTGAGATACAAGCTTCTTCTTTCTAGCAACAAACTTATTCTTTCCAATTCCTTTTCTGGTTTCTTTGAGAGATAGACACAGTTAGTTCGTTGGTGGTTAACGTAGTGCAGCGTGAATCGACAACCAATTATATCATGTGAATCGAACACCGATCATAATCTCTTGCACTCCGATGAGGCGGCGAATTCGATTAAAGGAAACCGTGTAAACTCGGGCTTTCGGTTTTGATTGATCTACTTTGATTCTCCAATTTCCCCCAACAATGTTTTCTTGAAGTACAAGTTTCTATTCATCGAATTCATTGGATAATTTTCCGGGTCCGTTGGTGGTCTTTTTGAAGTACACGTTTCTGTTCATCAATGGTATTTCATCCTCAATAACCAAAAGTTGATCAAATTGCTAATCTTGTGACCTTATTTTCTACAGTTTTGTGGGCCTGCGTGGATAATAATTAATGGGTTCTTATTTTTGGAAAATAATCCATGCAGAGANGAGGTCGCTTCTATAAGGATTGGAAGGGCTACATCCTTGAACAAACACTTGCAGAACCAGGCGATGTGTTCATGGCCAAAACGAACACAACATTGAGAACGACGCTGTGTCTAGAATGGTCCTGTGTGAGGTCTATTGTCTTGGTTTACACAAATGACGAAACAGTTCAAGGCATCAGATCCACTAGTTTGCTAGTAATACTCGATAGATTTTGACAAGGGAAGGTTCAAAGCTAAATGCTACCTATCCTAAGCAGGATTGATTCGTTTTACTCTCTCTTTTCTCTTTACCCTTTGCTTTCCAAATTTTCATTCATGTGAGGGATTGTTGGAAAATAACTGTATTGAATGAAAATCAGCCACTTCAGTTTCAGAAATTATGAAACCACTTCAGTTTCAGAAATTATGAAATCAGTTTCAGCCTTTCATCTTCTTCTTTTTCAGAAATTCATCTTCAATGTTAATTATATTAATGACCTTCAATGTTAATTGTATTAATGACCATGCTCCTCCTCTATGGGTATAAATAGGGGATCTCTCGATTGGAAGAAACACAAGTGAGATACAAGCTTCTTCTTTCTAGCAACAAACTTATTCTTTCCAATTCCTTTTCTGGTTTCTTTGAGAGATAAACACAGTTAGTTCGTTGGTGGTTAACGTAGTGCAGCGTGAATCGACAACCAATTATATCATGTGAATCGAACACCGATCATAATTTCTTGCACTCCGATGAGGCGGCGAATTCGATTAAGGAAACCGTGTAAACTCGGGCTTTCGGTTTTGATTGATCTACTTTGATTCTCCAATTTCCCCCAACAATGTTTTCTTGAAGTACAAGTTTCTATTCATCGAATTCATTGGATAATTTTCCGGGTCCGTTGGTGGTCTTTTTGAAGTACACGTTTCTGTTCATCAATGGTATTTCATCCTCAATAACAAAAAGTTGATCAAATTGCTAATCTTGTGACCTTATTTTCTACAGTTTTGTGGGCCTGCGTGGATAATAATTAATGGGTTCTTATTTTTGGAAAATAATCCATGCAGAGAAAATAGGGATAATTGAATTTTATAACCTAAAGTTATGCAATTCATTCTCATTGTTGGTGGTATATTCTTCATTTTCTATTCTTAATTCTTGATCTGCACCGTGGATTGTATACACGATTTAGTAAAAGCCTCTAACAGAGACTAGTACTATTTGTTGGTCCTATTTAAACAACTTAAACATACTAATCACGGGAAACCTCAAGTTTGAGTACAAATATCTTTTAGAAAAGTCGGAGATAAAAGTGTACAAGCGATCAAATGTCGGGAACACAACCACATATAAATTATTTTCAATTCCTCGATGCACCCTTCTCGAATAGGCCATGTCATTTTTATCAGACCCAACATATTTTTATAAATAGATAGCGATAAGACTTGAACTCAATACCCTAGACTAATTGAGCCACTTCGACTAAATTATTTTAAATTAGCATTCAAGAATTATCCTTGCTTCAGGAAAAATGAACGAAGAACTTGCAATCAAAACAAAAAGGGAAATTTGGGTTGCACTTCCAGACTTTAACATGGTATGGTTATTGGTCCCCAACCTTAAAAAATGATTATTGTGTGTCATCAACTTATTTAAATATGTGAATTTGGGTGTGTCGGTACAGAACATGTTAATGTAGACGTTAAAAGTTTGAACACGACTTTCAATTGAATAGCGAATTGAGATTTTTGCCCTATAACTTTAAATTACATAGAAGTTTCGTACGATTTTATCATTCAAATTGATGGTTATGGTCAAGTGGACCCAAATTCATATCTTTAAGTAGGTTGGGGACCTGGATCATTTTTGAAGATTGAGGACCATAATCACACTATGTGAAAGGTTGAGAAGTGTAGCCCTAATTTACCCCAAGCAAAAACAGAGGCCACAAACAAGATTCTTGATTTTATTGTTGCACGTGCAGCAATTAATGAGAGCAAGCTCCATTGCTTTATTTGTTGAGCCATCATGAGACATAAAACTTGGTTCAATTTTGGTATTTTCTGTTTAAGAAGCACCCAACTCATTACACAAATAGAGAAAAGCTGTGAGGAAATTCTGTAAGGAAATTATTGAATTTGGTATCTGTCTATTTCACTCAAATTCTTTTAATAGGTTCTAAACTTTAACTGTACATGCAGTTGGTCGTGTGGATTCGTGATGCCATCGTATAATAAATGTCACTTGAGATTAGAGTTATATATCATATTGTGCCAAACTAGCGCGAGTTAGTTCTCAGGTAACTCAACTTTAGTCGGTCAGAAACCTTGTTTTTAGGCATGTAGCGAGCATGGATCTTGTGTTTAAGCAAATCTATAATTAGATTTAACACTAGCAAAATTAATGGAACCATCCCAAACTCATACAACTTATTCCCTACCATTACTGTAGTTTTTTTTTTTTCACAAAAGCTCGCTTCGACTAGCCTAGTTTGTCGGGTTTCTCTGGATCATCCCACTTTGACACCACTAATGTAACCCAACCAAGCACTGAAAGCTGTTCTCATGAAACATATTCTTGAACAAACATTTTGCATAACTTTTTTGTGTGTATTACATTGAAACAAAGTTTAAAAGGTAAAAATATTTCAACTCAACAGCAACTCCACTATTTCTATAGTCATAAGAACGATTACAATGCTCTCAAACAACGGTAACACGAATAACAGAAAACTCCAATAGAAAAAAGGAAAAACGAACTTGTAGGAAAACGAAAAATACAACAAGCTGTTGAATTCATCAGAACGAATTCCCATTTAGGAAGCTCCATATTTTACATGTCATCTTGCAACATCGGAGGGTATAGATCTTTGCACAAGTTGACAGAATAGAGATCAGTGTCGGCAGTCCTTCGAGCCAGCCCCCTCGAAACCGGACTTAGCTTTCTACGATAGTGTAAATCCTCGATTGAATGCCTCATTCCAGTATAAGTATGAGACAAATAATTGCATGGTTTCTGCTTGGCCTTTATCGATTGTGTTAGACTCATATAGTTAGGTTTGGCACCATATCCCTCGGCTAGAGTATTTTCTGACCCTTGAGTCTGAGTCTCAGAAGTAGTTGTGGATGAATTTGATGTTGTACTCTCATCATACGAAAATGCAGAACATGGTTCAGATGATGAGCGAGTGATTTGACAAGTTTTTGGAAATTTTGGGGATATTCTGGTAGATATGTTATTCCGTGTAACTGTAACTGAATCGTGGTCACACGAATTTGAAGAGGATCTAGCAGTTTGAAATTCTCCAACTGACCTAGTATCCCATGGCTTGTTTTGCATCCAATTCCAGCGTTCTGACCAGTCGAGTCCTGAATTGTTCTTATCCAACTTATTTGGAGTAACCATCTTGTTCGTTCTTGAATACAAGATCGGGCTTCTTCTGGATTGCTAGATTAAGACATCACATTGTACATAAATGAGTTCGAAAACATATTTGAAAGATATCGTCATGAATTCAATTAATTACCTGTTTAGAAAGGGCGTGGGCATATGCATTCGCCCTTTCCCTCTTGATAGCGCCTTCTTGTTTCGTTAGTAATCTCGACCTCACTTCTTCAACTGTTGCAGAACTGTCACACCATCCATTCTGCCATTTACAGATAATTAAAAAAAAAATTTATTTCGTAATTTTCCAATTTGATAGCTGGATCATGTAACATATAGAGAAAGATACTTAGATACATCATTAGTTATTTCAAGATTTTTCTATCAACTTGTGGCCTACAAAGGTGATCTTTCTCAATAAAGTCCAATGATTAGGCTAAACCTGTATCACTTAGGACTAATCATACCTCGGCTTGCTTTATAGGATCAGCGCTCTGATTCTTTGGGGCATGCCCTTGTGCAGATGTTTTAATGCATTGAGCCCTAACTCGAGTCTGAACTCGAACAAGCGACTGCATGCACCTTAATGTTACAGCGGCTTGCTTTCTAACCAGTCTGCCCCGGACTATAGCTTGTAGTCTTACCAATGCTTTCAAGGCCCTTAAAGCGCGCTTTGCCTTCAAACATTATCATTAACGAAAACAAATCGTTTAAAGAAGAGGAGAAAGCACGATTGAATAGCATAAATTTGTTGGATCATAGACAGCTTATAAAATAAAAGGTGCCCATAGGATCTAGTCTTTATTATGCTGCATCCCCCAATGCCATTCCCGGCTCTGCCGACTCCGACAGATGCCCCCCACAGCTCTCCAACCCTCCCTGTTTTCCCCACTCCCTTGTCTAGAAATAGAATTCCTTTGTTCCCCCTCCAACATGTTGGTTTCTCCACCCAGTCCAAACCCCAACCCCTGTTCCCAACTGTCTCTTACTCCATCTAGTTTCCCTCTCCTCACCCCTGCCTGTTGCCCTTCTCCGTCCACCCCCTGGCTGGTTTCCCCCAATTTCCCCCCAACGGATTGAATGGCTCATTTGAGCATTATGAGCTCTGATACCATATTAAGATTTGAGATTTCATCTTAAAAGGCCAACTTTGTTAAGATGAGTAACCCAATCACTTATATTTTGGTATTGATTTCTTAATTAACCAGTGTGGGATTATTACCCTTAACACTTAGGTGGTTCCAAAACTAGTTGCTCAGACAAAAGTTCCCTAGACTGGAGATAGTGTATGTTTGACAAAGTTTTCAGGTTCTTATAAGTTGTCCAAACACCTATTTCAACATTAAAATTTCATTCTTGTTCCGGGTATTCTATTCACACATTTCAAACTCTCCATTAGCATTTCAAATTCAGGCAGACCTTTATTAATTCATTGTAATCAAGCACATTCCAAAACTAAAATCACCAATTTCTTAATGAAATTAAAACTCAATTACAAGTTCTAAATGTGCAATTACTGGTACTGAAACGGAAAGGGAAAGTAGCTGATTACCAGAAAAGACCGAAAAATTGTCTGGATTCGAACGGCGGCCCATTCTCGCCGGACCACCATGAAATCCTTAGGTGAAGCTTTGGCCAAAGCTGCCACTGCCGCCGCCATCTCACCGCCATACAAATAAGAAGAAGATTCAGATTCCTCCGTCTCCGGGGAATTCCCCCTTCCTTTAACACCCTTCGAAACACCCCTCCATAGTTTCCACTTCCTGCCCTTACCACCCACTTTACCCTACAATAAAAAGATAAAAAGATCATTGAATAAAACACCATATAAGATTATAGAAATCCTGGAGGTTTTTAGCTTACATTATCTTTTGATGGGGAATTTTTGGTTCCGATCAGTGATTTGATCCACTTTCCAGGAGAACCCATTTCACCGAAACTCGAAAAACAAATAGAAAGTTATGAAAAACAGCGATTCAGGTGACGAAGTGAAGAGAACGCCATTGCGGAAGAATGGGAATTCTTCGATCGTGGGTTTAACTAAGGTTTATAGTCTCGAGTGCTGTAATCTTTTTTTTTTTTTTTTTTGAATTTTGAAATTTTGAAAAAAAGAAATAAAAAGTTGTAACGGATAGGTCCGAAAATTGGGGTGGTCCGGAAATAAAAAGTGAAACACGACATAATTTGAGGATTCGGGTAAAATAAGGTCCTTTTTCCTTTTTTCTTTTTTCAAATATTGAGATTTTTGAGTTTACAGCGCGCGTAGTACCCGCTTCGAAGGAATCATACTGGCGTCCCGCACTCCCGCTTTATTGGCTGCCGCCGGCTTGAAGCTGAAGCTGCGCACAGCTTGAATTCAAAATGACTAAAAGTCACTTTAGAATAGTAAAATATTCGATTTTTTTTTTCAATATTTCGTGTTATTTGATGCTTCAACTTTAGCCCCGTTTGATCTTCATTTTTTTCAAAATTCATTTTCAATCATGCATTCTTCCATAAAAAAATATATGCGTAAATTTAAAAATTTTCTCCATTCTTAATTCACACATTCTCCAAAAAATTATTATTTCAAAACAGTTTTTTCTCAAAAATAGGGGCTCAAACAAGAGCTTAGTATAAAAAGAACAAATTAAAAGTTTCTGACGCAAAACTTTTGTTTGGTTCCTATTTATTAAAATTCATTTTTAACCATTCATCTTTAGGGGTGGCAAAGCAGCTCGGTCCTATTGCCCACGAGCTCGGCTCATACTCTCCATGAGCTGAGCTCTTGGCTCGTTTGGAACGAGCCGAGATTCAGCCGCTGAACTCGTATTTTTAAATTTTTTTATAGATAACCCTCTTCTTTTATTTGAATTTGTGATCGGCTACTTAAATTTCGAGTAAGTGGAGTTAAAAATTATACACAAACAACTCGTTATATGTACAATTTTTTTTAAAAAAAATTAAAAATAGTATTATAAAATAAAAAATGTTATTAATATGGTTAAATTAAACATCACTTACATGATGACGTGCAATTTCGACATATTTATCTTGCAGTTGAAAATTAGCTTCTTGTCAATCCTTCAGGCACATTAATACTTCCAAAATATCTTCTTTTAGTCGACTCTTGACATTGGACAAAATCCGCTTCATGTACTAAAAACAGATTTCGAAACTACAGTGCTAATCGGAGGTATTAGTAGGTCTTTTGTAATCGTATAAACTACTAGTCATCGTCGTTCGTACTTTCGTCAAAATTCAATTACTTTTTCTGATCTTTCTTTAATTTATTTATTATTAGACATATTATGATTAAAGTAATCAAGTAATTCAGGATGCAATGTATTTGAACTTAAGTCCATTGTCTGATTACATGCGGTAGACATACCACTACAAGAAGAACATATTGCATCATATCTATACGTATAAATGCCTTCAAATAAATATAATATTTCAGCGTCGTCTTCTTCAATATCAGCTGGAGGAGTAGGTGTAGAGAGTGTCTGACTAACATTTGCACTCATTTGTTCTACATATGCCAGGAAATTTGATCCTTACTGTTAACTTGCACTACAATAGGAGTATACTTCTCATCAAGCCCGGCCAAGACTTGAGTTATTAAGAGCTTGTTTGGGAGGGATTAAAATCAGATTAAAATTGAAAATATAGCCGTTGAAGTTGACTTTTATTAGACGAGTGGGACCCAATAACGGCTATATTTTCAATTTTAATTGGATTTTAATCCGTCCCAAACAAGCTCTAAACATCACTTACATGATGACGTGCAATTTCGACATATTTATCTTGCAGTTGAAAATTAGCTTTTTGTCAATCCTTCAGGCACATTAATACTTCCAAAATATCTTCTTTTAGTCGACTTTTGACATTGGACAAAATCCGCTTCATGCACTAAAAACAGATTTCGAAACTACAGTGCTAATCGGAGGTATTAGTAGGTCTTTTGTAATCGTATAAACTACTAGTCATCATCGTTCGTACTTTCGTCAAAATTCAATTACTTTTTCTGATCTTTCTTTAATTTATTTATTATTAGACATATTATGATTAAAGTAATCAAGTAATTCAGCATGCAATGTATTTGAACTTAAGTCCAATGTCTGATTACATGCGGTAGACATACCACTACAAGAAGAACATATTGCATCATATCTATACGTATAAATGCCTTCAAATAAATATAATATTTCAGCGTCGTCTTCTTCAATATCAGTTGGAGGAGTAGGTGTAGAGAGTGTCTGACTAATATTTGCACTCATTTGTTCTACATACAAATCATACATTTCACTTAAAATTTATTCTAAATTACTATAAGTGTATTTGCACTCATTTGTTCTACATACAATTCATACATTTCACTTAAAATTTATTCTAAATTACTATAAGTGAAAATATATTAAAAGTTAAAGCTTTTGAAATTCGATCAATTACGTAACATGATAAATTGTATCGAGAGTCCATGATGCAAGCTAAAGGAAATAACATAGACAAGTCTTCTTAATATTTTTTAAACTTTAATTCCATATAATATATAATTTCACTAAAATCGGGATCATTTTTGTATTTATGAAAAGCCCCTGCAGTTATATAAAGGCATTCAAGCACCATACAACTAATGTGATAAAATATTTGTAGTCATAAAAATTTGTCAAAAGTTTTTAAATTTTAAAAGCTAAAAGTCAATCAGATTCATTCAAAATAGTGTCATTATCGTTTTTAATATGACTATTATTATAAAATTCAGTTATTAAATATTCAAAACTTTCGCATAATTTTAATAATAAGTAAGTGAAGTTCCATCTATATCTTACGTCATTAACAAATATTTTCGTATTCGTCACCCCAAATTAGATAAAAATTCCTCAAACACTTGTTTTCTATTAAGTGAAATCGTGATAGATATTAGTTCATCCCTAATTTTTTGAATTTCATTCTTAATATGTTTCAAACCATCCTACACAATCAAATTAAAAATATGGCACACACAGCGAATATGAAATAAATAACTAAAGAAATCGGGTTGTAATACGCTACACAATTTATCGATAATTGGTTTATTAGCACTGGCGTTGTCAAATGCAAAAGAGCGAATTTTACTCTTGCAATCATATTCTCTAATAATGCTCATAATAACGTTAAATATATTGTTAGCGTTGTGAGTGAACCCAATAATTTTAAAAAAAATAATTTTTTATACACATACCAAAGTGGGTCTATATAATATGCAGTTGTAGCTATATAACCTCTTTTATTGATCAACTCCCCTAAATTCAAAGTTAAAGATATAATACCCCATATTTTTGTAAATCGATAATCAATTGTTTCTTTATATTAAGAAAATATTATATTGTATCGGAATGAAGAGTGTCTCTGCTAATCACAACGTACATCGGTTGGAGATATTTTTTACGTAGGAGACGAAATACTGGTTGTTTGCTATTGCTAGATGCAACTCAGCACTGCCAACGAACTTGACCATTTCCGTTCAAGATTTCTCCTCAAAATACATCCAAGTGCAATGTGTCATAGAAGTAATTTTTTCAGTTGGAATACCAAATTGCAGTTGCATTTGAGAGGCACCAAGAAGTCTATGTTTGGCCGTACATGCTTTGTAGTGACTATTGAGGTGGGTGGTACCAACGCCGTTTTGCTATGCCAATCATTGTTAACAGTATTTCCATATTGCTTTAGAATCTGCGACTCCATCGACTACACGACTCGTTAGAATCAATTTAAAGTGATCCCAACATTTTTGTTTTTTCCTTTCGCTTCCCTCATGCATCGGAAAAATCTGATTCATCCCGTTCCGCTTTCAGAACATCAACGTTGTCCAAATCAATTGGATTACTACTTTTGTGAGCATTCAAATCTGAAATATTTTCGTGAATTGGTACTTCGTTGAGATAGGCAAATTCTTTCTGAAATTGATTTTACAGCATCATAGGTGATTCGTCTCCTATACCAAACTAACCCTCAACAAATGAGGATAGATCCATTTGTGAATTGTGATGAAATGTATAGAATTTGTATTGTAATTTGTATAGCACAGATTGTATAGTAACTAAGCAAGTAAATAGAGAGTATGGAAAGAAATCATGAATTCAATGAATGTTTATGTATAAGATTGTAATTGTAATCTTGTAGTCTGATAATTGATATTAAATGATTGACTAATTGAAATCGAAGGTAGAAATGAATGTAGTAGATTGTAGAATGTGGAAAAGAGTGAGAATTGTTACTGGCGTGTGAAAAAATTTGGAAATGGGTTATGATATTTATAGAGCAAAAAAGAAGGAAAAAATAAATGAAGTGGCTAAAACGGTCACTTTTGTAAGTTCAGTGACGTTTTGGTCATGTAGCGACGAGCCAGGCTCGTGAGCTTTCCTTACGTGTTGCTTGCCCATGGGCGAGTTGAACGGCTTTGGCTTGTCAAGTGAGCCAACCCCGAGCCACCCATGAGCCGAGCCGACTAGTCGCTCGACATCTCTATACATCTCATATGATTCATAACTTTTATCAACATTTTAATCACACATTTCATCAACTTTAATCAACCTATTAAAAATCTGATTTTTAACTATATCAAACAGGGGCAGGGACAATAGCTACATTATAAGTTTGACCACCCAAAGGCATTCAAGGTTTATGTAGTAATTATTGACATTGATATTATGGTCTTTTAAGACATAAGGTTTACTTACAAAATAGCAGGTTAAGATAATCGTTTATTGGTTTTGATTTTTATGAATAGAATTGACGGCTTGGACATAATTGTCAGCCCTCTTTATGATCCATTCTTCATATTAGAATGTTTATTATGCGAATTGTGTGATCACTTGATGTTTCCCCTAATGCATTTCATGTTCATTTATCTATATCTACCTACACCATTTGTGGTATTAGAGCATGCAATGTTCATGTTGGCATGG